ACCCTGCAGGCCCCGCTCCCCCAGGCGCCCCCGGTCTCCCCACCTTCCTGCCCCGCAGCCTCTGAAACTGCGGAGGTGGACCGGGTGGGAAGTGTCAGGTTCCCGCAGGAGTGTCCTGACTCAGCCCGTGGGCCAGGCTTCCCCCTGCAGCTCCCCTGCCGGGCGGGGCCGCTCGGACCGCGCTCCCCTCTCGGTTTCGGCGTCCCGCGCTGCAGCCTCCTGCCCGATTCCCAGAACTCCTTCCAGATGGTTCTGTTCCAAGGTCTTTACCGCGCGGCGAACCGGGTCCATGCTGGCATTCTTGGTGCCCCCAAGGCGGGGGCCCCGGGGAGAAGGTTTCTCAGCGCGCGCATCGCCCCGGGAGGCCAGCCCTGGTGTCCTCGCCCAGCTCCCCACCTAGTCCGGCTGCCGCCCTCTCGCCCGCAGACCCCGACTGGGCCTCTTACAAGCTGGGCGTCTTCATCTGCCTGAACTGCTCCGGAGTCCACCGGAACTTCCCAGACATCAGCAAAGTGAAGTCCCTGAGGCTGGACTTCTGGGACGACAGTGTTGTGGAGGTAGCAAGGGGCGCAGGGGGCGGCGGCGGCGGGCAGGGCGCCCCCATTTTACAGGGAAGGACTCAGGCCCAGAGAGAGGCATCACTCGGGAAAGAAAACACAGCCTATCAGACCTGTGGCTGAGACAGAGGCCCCGAGTTCAAATCCTGGCGTCCTCACTTGTTTATTTAGGACGGGGAGGCCCTGAGCTTGGTTTTTTAACCCTAGTTGTGGACCCTCAGTTTCCACATCTGTGTTATGGGGACACCCCCCCCCCTCCCCTTCACAGGCTGCTGTAAGGATTAAACGGGGCTCAATGCAGGTACAAAGTACCAGTCAGTTAGCAGCTACTGTTCTCATTAGCTGAAGCCTTGGACTGGAACGGAAGCATCCCAGGTCCAGTATCCTGAGTCTGTTCTCGCCCTCCCAGCCCCCCTAGCCAGGAAGGGGTCTACTTGGCTCCGCTGACCTATGGTGATGGAGGACACCTTCAGCCTGGAGGGAAATGACAATTTGGCCAGGACACCGTCTGAGAGCAGGCGGTCCTAAACTGTGCTGGTTGGCGGAGGATTTCAGGACTGTTGGGGAAGCAGGCCCACGGTCTCTGAGCGCCCGCTGTGTGCCAGGCACTGTGCTAGGCCGCTGGGCTAGATGCTTTACTTATTCCTTCAACACTTAGTTACTGGATGCCCACCATGTGCTGGAGCAGCTAAAGCGAGCAAGGCAAAATCTGTCCACATGGAGCTTACATGCTAGCGTAGAAGGTCAGGAAACCCGCAACCCAAAGGTTATTTGTTTGTGCCTCATACTGGTACCTCCAGTGCTGCAGGTGAGCTCCCTGAAGCTCAGGGGTTAAGTATTGCCCGAGGGTCCCTCCGTGAATGAGTGGCACAGCTGGGATGTGAACCCAAGATCCAAAGCCCATGGAAATCCTGTGATACAGCTCAGTGGCCCCTGGGGGGTGGCGGGGGCGGGGGGAAGAATAGGGCTCACTCTATGAAAAGCCCGATGTTTCTTCCCACACTGCCCTCACCCCACATATGCCACTGCTGTTGCTGCATGCTGACTCTTGGCCCATGTGTCTCTGGGTCTCTCAGGTGTCAAAGGGCCCCAGTGATAATCCTGATCTAGAACTCTAGGGGGTCAGCATTGACTTCAGTCTTCAGCTACCTGTACTGCCTACAGACTTGCGGGCACTGTTGCTGGGGGTCCTGGCCAGCTGTGGAGGGGGGGGTGTGGTGGTGGGGTAGGAGGAAGAACATGAGCTTTGGAGTTAGACAAGCCTGGGTCCAAATCCCAGCTCTCCATGTATTAGCTGTGTTACCTTGGGTAAATCGCCTAACCTCTCTGAGCCTCTAAAATAGAGATGGTAATATTAAAATGGTTAAGGGGATCAAGTGAACTATGGTCACTCTGCCTCTATGAGGCGTAGTTGTTCCAGCACCACATTGCTCCGGCCTTTCTAGCAAACGCTGGTATTTTATTTTTTGGTTAATTCTGGTGGGCAGTGTGAAATTCCCCTACGACTGTCTCCTGACTCAGCGGAGGAGCCAGTGAGAACAGTGGCCTTCTGGGTAGACCATGGTTTCATTTCATATTTTGCAAGTTCTAATATTACCATCAAATTGCTGTTGTTTTGCAGTTTATGACCCACAATGGGAACCTCCGTGTGAAGGCCAAGTATGAAGCCAGAGTCCCCGCTTTCTATTACATCCCTCAGGCCAGCGACTGCCTGTGAGTGAGTGCATGATTCCTGGCCCCAACCCCACCTCCGGGTCTTTGCCTGCGGTGGTCTTGTCCATGGGCCTGGTCAGCAGGTGGACCCAGGAAAGGGTTTGGTACTGTTACGGAGAACACATGAGACCTAGTTTAAGCCCTCTCTACCTTTATTGCTTGGGTGGTCAATTTCTCCCTCTGGGACTCAGCTTCCATCGCTCTAAAAGGGGGCATTTTCTCTATTATCTGCTCCATTTGCCTCTGATGTTCTCACAGGTGATGGCTAACTTGATAGAGAAGAGAAACGCTGGTATTTTATTTTATTGTTCTGTTAATCCTCACCTGAGGATATTTTTTCCCCATTGATTTTTAGAGAGAGTGGAAGGGAGGGGGAGAGACAGAAACATTGATGAGAGAGAGACACATCGATTGGTTGCCTCCCGCTTGTCCCCTGACCAGGGCAGGGGATGAAGCCTGCAACCGAGGTATGTGCCCTTGACCGGAATCGAACCCAGGACCCCTGAGCAAAACCAGATAGGTCGAAACACTGGTATTTTAATAGAACAAATGTATTTCAGCAACTTCCTATGGAGTGCTATGCTTAGGACTGTCCCAAAGCAGCCACTTGGGCCCCAGATCCCTAAATATTAACCATAAAAACAATAGTAGCTGCTAGTATTTATTGATCTTTATCTATATACCAGGCCCTGTGCTAAATAATTATGTGCAGTAATTTGTTGAATTCTCTCAACAACCCCATGCGATAAACACTGCCGTCGCCCCCATGATGTAGATGGAAAACTTGAGGCTTGTAGAGGCAAAGCTGGGACGAGCCCATCTGATACCAGGGTCTGGGTGACTGAACCATGACATTGAGAAAATCCGATACAATGAGGGTGGGGGGAGGTCGGGGGAGGATCTGTGAAGCAGTAGGAGGGTTCAGTTGACCTGGAGGCGAGGGTCCGTGTGACACTGGTACCTAGTGACCCCAGACCTCTGCAGATTGACTGAGCCTGAACTTGTCTACCAGGGACCCAGCCCTGCCATCAGGGCTGCTAGACAGCACCTATGTCAATGGGTGTGTCTGTCCCTCTGAGCAGACGCAACCTCATGGGGACATGGCTTGCAAGAAGCCGGCTGCATTTCAGCTACATTGTCCTCTAGCCTCACAGCAGGATGCTTTAGGACAGGGCACAAACGACACAACCATCCCTGGGGGGCCTGCGATTTCAGCTTTGGGCTCGGGAGACCTCAGTTCTTTTTCCAAGTCTACCATGACCTGGCTTGGGAGAAGGTGGACAAGTTACCAAACCTCTCTGACTCGTGGCATCCTCGCCTCTGAAATCTGGGTAATGATGCCTACATCAGAGCGTCGTGGTGGATTAAATGAAATAATTTATGTAAAAACCTCATACACCACCTGAAATGCTAGTTTGTTTGTTTTTAAAATATAGTTTTATTGATTTAAAAGAGGAAGGACGAGAGAGAGATAGAACATTGATGATGAGAGAGAATCATTGATTGGCTGCCTCCTGCACACCCCACACTGGGGATTGAACCAGCAATCCTGGCATATGCCCTGACTGGGAATTGAACCATGACCTCTTGGTTCAGAGGTTGACACTCAACCACTGAGTCACCTCATGCTGGCTGGGCTGAAATGCTAGTTTTAATCCACTTCTCAGTGTCAGCTTCAGAGTGCTGCCTAGTGCCTGGCCCCGCAGAGGGATGTGTCAGGCCTGAGGGCCTGATCCTCTTGCCTCATCTCTGCCACTCAGCCCTTGGCTCCAAGGGGAAGGCAACAAGCACTTGGTGAGCACCTACTATGTGCTAGGCCTTCTGCCCGCACTACACAGACACTACTTGTCATGACTCCAGCAACAGGCCTGTGCTTTAACCCCATTTAGCTGAATACTAATGGCCTCTTCCCTCCTATCCTAAAAGTCCTCTAAACTCCCCACTTCCAGCACCAGGATTGGGGCCTCAGTCTCCATTGCCTCTCCCAGCTCTGATCCTGTGGCTCAGGGTTCCTCAATGTCCTGGTGAGGACTGTGCATTAGGTAGGACTCTTTGTTGCTGGTGTCGTCGTCATATGATCTTTAATTGAAATATTTCCCTTTGTAGTTCTTAACTGGCTAGGCATTCCATGGCACCTCTGTTGATGTCATCTATGATGTCATGAGGGTGGTGGCCAATAGCATTGCAGCCCACAGACAGGGCAGTCCCCAGGATCTCTTTAATGGTTCAATAGAGTTCTCTAGCTAAAGGTCGGTGCCGCATCTTCGGGCAATGTTGACGGTCTCATCAAAAGTGGTATTTCCACTGTGCTTCCTGTCTTCTTGCTTCCTTCTGTCTCATGGTGGTTCTTTGAGGCCTTCGATGGTCAGGGCAGAGGCCCTAAGTCTGGGCCTGTCTGTTCTGAACGGACAGTTTCATTGTGATCTGCAGACCCTTCCGATCACTGCCTGAGGCTGCTTTGGCAATGCCACCATCAGTCTTTTCTGGAGATGGACGCAGGGGGCTGATCTTGGGGGCCAGGGCGGAGTTGGCACTGACTTCCCTACCGCTGCACCTCAGATAGATGACTTTGACCTCCTTGGGGTCAAACTTGGGCAGCCTGACGGAGGCGGCTGGTGTCTGTCAGGTGACCCCAGGTCTGGAACAAGTGAAGAAAGTTGCACCCAAGCCTCCTCCAAGGCAAACGCCGAAAAGCTAGATAGGACTCTCGATGGTAAGTGACAGAAACCCAGTTTAAACCAGCTTAGAAAGAAGATGCTGTGGGTTCTGGGGACCAGGCTGCAGGGAGGACAGAGGTGGAGCCGCCCCAGGAAGGACAAGCCAGGACAAACACCAGCAGCCTCTCAGAGCCTCTCTGGCTCTCAGTCCCGCTTCTCTCTCTCAGCCGGGCTTCTTCATGCAGCTGGAGCCAGACCACGGCTCGGTCCCAGCTCCAGCTCCCAGTTTGATCCCAGAGAGCGCTTCTAACTCACCTCCCTTCTCAGTCTTGCTCCTTTTGGTCCACATGGCCCTGGGCAGAGCTCTGATTGACCAGTTGGGCCAGATGCCCAGCTCTAGCCCATTCCCTGTGGTTGTGGGGAAAAGGTCACATAAACCTCGGGCCCGGATGGTGTGGCTCAGTGGTTAAATGTCAGCCTATGAACCAGGAGGTCATGGTTTGATTCCCAGTCAGAGCACATGCCTGGGTTGTGGGCTCAATCTCCAGTGTGGGGCGCAGGAGGCAGCCGATCAATGATTCTCTCTCATCATTGATGTTTCTATCTGAGAACCAACTGATTGAATTAAGTCTCCTTTTGGCTGCATGGTTTTTCTGCACGGGTCATGGAAGACAGTACCTGATGGGGCTAACATCAAACCACCCACTCTGTGCCAAGCATGGCTCCACGCCCTTTATATACATTTAAAGCTACCCTAAGGGGTCGGTAGGTGTAATATTATTGGCATATTCCCCAAGTTCAGAGGCAGTCCTCGGGCTACGTCCGACTCGACGTATGTCGTTTCGTGGTTACGTCGCCATCTCCCATTTATTTATAAAAAAAAATTCTATCATTTCGATGTATGTACATATGTGCTTTACGTTTTTTTTATTATTTATTTACCACAAGTAAAGGTCAGGAATTGTTATCTTTTAATTTTTTTTTTTTTTTTTTTTTGAGCAGGCAGTGAGGCCGCTGTGTGACGCTCCCGCCTGCAGCCGCGGGGCCTCAGACAGTTACTGTGGGCAGAGCACGTATCAGACACAGCTGACCGGAGGTTCTCTCTTTTTAGGGTCTTAAAGGAACAGTGGATTCGAGCTAAATATGAGAGACAGGAGTTTATGGCCGATGGGAAAACCATCTCAGTCTCAGGTACGGTTAATTTTCATCACCTTTCGAGGTCTCTGTTGCAGTGAGTTCTAGAAAACAAAGTGCCTGATTCTTAGAAGCGAGGTCCAGCCGAGAGCTATCTGCTGCCCTCACTCTGGCCACAGAGGCCCAGGCATGGGTTCCTCTGCCTCTGAAATGGCAACACAGCAGTTGGTGGGGTTTGCGGTCTGAATGGACAGGAAGCGTGTTTGCACGTCCTTGCGGGGCCGCAAGGGTGTAGAGTCCTTCCTGTGAGTTGCAGGGAGGCTCACCCACCAGGATCACACCCCTGCGCCTGGCTCCTGTAGCCCCCGGTGTGGCACAGGCTCGGTAAGGTGCATGGGCCGGAATTCGCCCTCCTTCATGCCCTTGTGCAAGGCACAACCTCCTCGGTGGCCCTGGAACTGTGGCTGACACCGACCTGGAGGGCAAAGTGCACAAAACCACTCTTTGAGGATCAGAGGCAGCCAGTGCTCAACACTCCCAGCTCCCAGGAGCACCTGGCATTCTTCAGCCGCAGGCGCCTAGAGGGCGTGCGTTACTCCTGCGCTCTGGAGAGCGCCCCCGGACTGATGTCCACGGGAAATCATCGGTACAGTGTCTCAGTACTTAGCCTACGTAAGGGTGTACTGTGCCTTCTTAAGAAACAGCCAAGGAAGAACATTGGAAATTTGGCCCCAGATAGGACCCCCGTGTCCTGCATCTGAAATAGCCACGTTCGTTAGATGTGAGACAGTTTAGCAGCCGGCGGGAGGTTCATTGTACCCCGAGACCCTACGAGGATTGTGCTGTAGCCCCCGGTGTGGCACAGGCTCGGTAAGGTGCATGGGCCGGAATTCGCCCTCCTTCATGCCCTTGTGCAAGGCACAACCTCCTCGGTGGCCCTGGACCTGTGGCTGACACCGACCCGGAGTGCAAAGTGTACAAAACCACTCTGAGGATCAGAGGCAGCCAGTGCTCAACGCTCCCAGCTCCCAGGAGCATCTGGCATTCTTCAGCCGCAGGCGCCTAGAGGGCGTGCGTTACTCCTGCGCTCTGGAGAGCGCCCCCGGACTGATGTCCACGGGAAATCATCGGTACAGTGTCTCAGTACTTAGCCTACGTAAGGGTGTACTGTGCCTTCTTAAGAAACAGCCAAGGAAGAACATTGGAAATTTGGCCCCAGATAGGACCCCCGTGTCCTGCATCTGAAATAGCCACGTTCGTTAGATGTGAGACAGTTTAGCAGCCGGCGGGAGGTTCATTGTACCCCGAGACCCTACGAGGATTGTGAGCTGCTTGTTTGTCTTAAGGCGGTGGGTGCTCACTCTTTGTCGTCCTCGGTGGCTCAGGTAACCGGGAAGGGTTCCTGTGGAAGCGGGGCAGGGACAACGCACAGTTCCTGAGGAGGAGATTTGTCCTGTTGGCAAGAGAAGGCCTTCTGAAGTACTACACTAAGGAAGAGGTAAGAGGCCAGACCCGGGAGGGGTCCCCTCCCGCGCACTGGGCTCTCACCCCACCGAGGTCTGCTTTTTAATCAATAGTGACTTGTCTTGTGGGTGATCTCAGGCCCCACATCCCATTTTCCCTTGGTGATACAATCAGTCCAGCCCACTAAAACACACCTTCTGTTCACTTAGAACAGTGGTTCTCAACCTTCTGGCCCTTTAAATACAGTTCCTCATGTTGTGACCCAACCACAAAATTATTTTCGTTGCTATTTCATGAGTAATGTTGCTACTGTTATGAATCGTAATGTAAATATCTGATATGCAGGATGGTCTTAGGCGACCCCTGTGAAAGGGTCGTTCGACCGCCAAAGGGGTCGTGACCCACAGGTTGAGAACCGCTGACTTAGAATAAGCTTCGACTGGTCCATGATTAAGCCTTTGATGATCACTTGATTTGACTTCATTTCTTCATACACGCAAGGGATATTTATTGAGCACCTACAATATGCTAGACATTATTGTAGGCACCGGGGACACAGCAGTGAACCAAACAAAGCTCCTCTTCTCTCGGAGCTTTCATGCTAGTGGAAGGAGACAGGTGGTGATCAAACAACATCAACATATGATATAGCAGGTGGCAGGAAGTGCTAAGAAGGGAAATAGATGAGAATGTGAGGGAGTGACCAACAGAAGGCTCTGAGCGTTGGCCTTCACCTTGCTTGATTTCCTACATGTAGGAATTATTGTGTATTTCCCCTGTTGCTTTCCTAGATGGACCTATGCAATGTGTGGCCACAGTCTAGAGCCAAGTGAAAAATGATGAGGGATGAAGAGTATTTATCCTCCAAGTGCGAGTAGGGATTTCTTTTTCTCTTTTTAAATATCTTTTTATTGATTTCAGAGAGGAAGGGACTTAGAATAAGCTTCGACTGGTCCATGATTAAGCCTTTGATGATCACTTGATTTGACTTCATTTCTTCATACACGCAAGGGATATTTATTGAGCACCTACAATATGCTAGACATTATTGTAGACACTGGGGACACAGCAGTGAACCAAACAAAGCTCCTCTTCTCTCGGAGCTTTCATGCTAGTGGAAGGAGACAGGTGGTGATCAAACAACATCAACATATGATATAGCAGGTGGCAGGAAGTGCTAAGAAGGGAAATAGATGAGAATGTGAGGGAGTGACCAACAGAAGGCTCTGAGCGTTGGCCTTCACCTTGCTCGGTTTCCTACATGTAGGAATTACTGTGTATTTCCCCGGTTGCTTTCCTAGATAGACCTGTGCGATGTGTAGCCGCAGTCTAGAGCCAAGTGAAAAATGATGAGGGATGAAGAGTATTTATCCTCCAAGTACGAGTAGGGATTTCTTTTTCTCTTTTTAAATATCTTTTTATTGATTTCAGAGAGGAAGGACGAGGGAGAGAGAGATAGAAACATCAATAATGAGAGAGAATCATTGATTGGGTGCCTCCTGCACGCCCCCTACTGGGGATTGAGCTTTCAACTGGACATGTGCCCTTGATTGGAATTGAACCTGGGACCCTTCAGTCTGCAGGCCTATGCTCTATCCACTGAGCCAAACCAGCTAGGGCAAGAGTAGGGATTTCTTATTAGTCTTCAGTTTAAAGACCTGAAAAATGTTGCAGGCACAAGAGGCAGGAAGAGAAAGTGGAGCAGAGTTAGGAGGGGCCACTGAACCCCAGCAGCCGCTGGGGGCTGGTCTCCCGGAGAGCTCATATTTGGTTGGGAAAAGTGGATCCTTCTCTCAGTCCTAAGCCTGTTTAGTCTAAAACAGTCTAAAAATAACACAAGTTGCCTTTGGTCTTGTAAATTTCTTTCCCCCAAAAAGGAAAAAATTTAACTTATAAAGATAACTTATTTTTATGTAAAAATTTGGGGTAATACAAGAAAGTAAATAAAGTATAAAGAAAGTGAAACTCAAAAGATATCTCGGCATAACAAAATGTTGATACTCAGAACATATTAAAAAAAAACAACAAAAACCTACAAATCAAGAAGAAAAAGTCCATTAGAAAAATGGCAAAGCAAATGGACTGGCCTTTTACAGAAAAGGAAACCAAAAGGCCTGATAAGGGTAAGAAGAGACGCTCGATGTCTCTGGCAGTCAGGGAAGTGCAGACCAAAACCTCAATGAGATGCTGCACACCCACCATAATGGCGAAAATTAAACAGGCTGACAACACCAAGTATTGGCGAGGATGTGGAGAAACTGAAACTCTCATCCATAAATAATACAACCTCTTTGGAAAGCAATTTGGCAATTTTATTTTATTTTTTTAAAATATATTTTTATTGATTTCAGAGAGGAAGGAAGAGGGAGAGAGATGGAAACATCAATGATGAGAGAGAATCATTGACCGGCTGCCTTCTGCATGCCCCCCACTGGAGATCGAGTCCACAACCCTGGCATGTGCCCTAGACCAGAATTGAACCTGGGACCCTCCAGTCCGCAGGTCGACGCTCTATCCACTGAGCCAAGCTGGCTAGGGCATTGGCAATTTTACATAAAGTTAAATGTATACCCAACCACACAACCCAGCCATTCCACTTCTAGGTGGAACAAAAACATAAATCCAAAAAAAAAAATGTTCATAGAAGCTTTATTTATAATAGCCCAAACCTGGAAAGAACTCAAATGTCCATCCACAGCTGAATGAATAAACAAATTGTAATACATCCATAGAAGGGAATGTTACTCAGCAATAAAGGGGGACAAACTACTAAAAAATGCAATAAGGATTAATCTAAAAAATATTATTCTGAGCAAAAGAAGCCTTATACAAGAGTATGTACTACATAATTCCATGTATAGGAAATGTTACAACAAGCAAAACTACTCTATATCAGTAGAAAGTAGGTAAGTGATTGCCTGGTGTTGAGGTGGGGTGGATGGGGATGGACTGTAAAGGGGCAGAGGAAACTTTTGGGGTGACAGTGATGTTGAATCTCTTGATTGTGGTAGAGGTTACAAGGGAATATATGCTTGTCAAAATCAAACTGTACTCTTAAAATGAGTACCATTTTTTGTTTGTCAATTATACCTCAATATAGCTGATTAAATGAAAACAGTGAGGCCCAATTTCAAGTCCATCATATTGGCAAAAATGTTAAAAATTGGCAATGTCAAGTGTTAGTGAGAATAACGGGGAAGGGGACCCCTTCTTTGTTTTAGTAGGTTCCTACTATGCATCCTGTTTTGGGACTTGGTATTTCTCATGGATTTCATATTAGTAATATTGATCTAAATTAGTTTTTTTATTTTATTTTTAAATATATTTTTGTTGATTTCAGAGAGAAAGGGAGAGGGAGAGAGAGATAGAAACATCTATGATGAGAATCATGGATTGGCTGCCTCCTGCACGCCCCCTACTGGGGATTGAGCCAGCAACCCGGGCATGTGCCCTTGAATGGAAATGAACCTGGGACCCTTCAGTCTGCAGGCCGATGCTCTACTATCCACTGAGCCAAACTGGTGAGGGCTAAATTAGTCTTTTAAAAATGTTTGTGGTATTTCATTGTGTGGATGTACCATGATATAATTATTTAATGGACATGTAAAACACTCCTTCTTTTTCTGCTAGTATACCAGTAAGTAACATGGCAATAAATATCTTTGGCATGCATGTTTGCACAGAAATGCAATTACTTCCTTGGGGTGGATTCTTAGATGCAAAATTGTGAGTCAAAGCAGAACACTCAACATGGTAATAGATATGACCAACTTTCCCTCTAGAGAAGACTGTTAATAGACTTTCTTCAGTTCTATGCCTGCCCTGTTCAATACCCTAGCCACCAGCCCTAGCTGGTTTGGCTCAGTGGATAGATCGTTGGCCTGTGGACTGAAGGGTCCTGGGTTCGATTCCTGGTCAAGGGCACATACCTTGGTTGCAGGCTCCATCATGGAGCCGTGTACAGGAGGCAACCAAACGATGTATCTCTCTCACATCGATGTTTCTCTCTCTCTCTGTTGCTCCCCCTCCCTTCCACTCTCTCTAAATATCAATGGGGAAATGTTCTTGGGTGAGAATTAACAACAACAACAAAATACCCTAGCCACTGGCCTCGAGTGGCTACTTGAGCATTTGAAATGGGGCTGAGTAAAGAACTGAAGTTTTATTTTATTTTTTTTCTTGTCTTTTTAAAAAAACATTTTTATTGATTTCAGAGAGGAAGGGTAGAGGGTGAGAGATAGAAACATCAATGATGAAAATCATTGATCAGCTGCCTCCTGCATGCCCCCTACTGGGGATCAAGCCCACAACCCAGGCACGTGCCCTTGACCGGAATTGAATCCGGGACCCTTCAGTCCACAGACCAACGCTCTATCCACTGAGCAAACCAGTCAAGGCTATTTTTATTTATTTATTTTTATGTTTAATTTTTTTCAAAATATATTTTATTGATTTTTTACAGAGAAGAAGGAAGAGGGACAGAGAGTTAGAAACATCGATGAGAGAGATCGATCAGCTGCCTCCTGCACGCCCCTACTGGGGATGTGCCCGCAACCAAGGTACATGCCCTTGACCGGAATCGAACCTGGGACCCTTGAGTCTGCAGGCCGACGCTCTATCCACTGAGCCAAACCGGTTCGGCGCTATTTTTATTTAAATGCAATAGGCACATGTTTCAATGGCTCCCACAGCTCCCCGGTGTTTGTTATAATTTTTCTCTCTTACGGATTTTGAAGGAAAGCACTCTTTTCTCTCCCCTGCTCAGCATGAATCAGTGATTGCACTGTTTCAGAACCCTGAGACCAGCCAGTACCCCACATCTGCTTTTATCTGCTTTATTTCATTGGGTGGCTTCCACAGATGACTTGCTTCAGAGAAACTTCCATGGCTAAAATTTTGAAAAGCCCTGCGTTAAGGCCTTTCCAAGCCCCATTCCAACTCGAGAGGCCAGGCCGAGCAAGCAGGAATGGTGGGATGGCTGAACACAGGACAGCAGGAGCATCCGTGTGTCCTAATGTCAGAGCAAGAACAGGGAGAACCCATGGAAAGTTACAGGCTGGTTATCTGTCTGCTCGAGGCCTTGGTGAAGGCGATAAGACGACTCCCTGCGGACTGTCTGTCTCTTTCAGGGTAAAAGCCCCAAAGCTGTCATCCACATCAAGGACCTGAATGCCACCTTCCAGACAGAGAAGATAGGGAACCCCCACGGGCTGCAGATCACCTACCGGAGAGACGGCCGCATCAGGAACCTGTTTGTGTATCACGAAAGCGGCAAGGTGAGCTGCCTGGCCTCGCCGTGCCGGCCTCCAGCTCCGCACCCCAGGACTCTGCAGGCCCAGCGACTAACCCTCTTGAGATCTGCAGCTACTGTTTGCCTAAACCTAGCGTCACCTTCTGGTCAGAGATAGAGGTGTGAGGAAGGCAGAGTGAGATCAGAGAGAGGAACCTGACAGGTCGAGTGGGTGTGTGTGGACGGTTCACGTCCACCAAGGGGAGTCCATCAGCAGAAGGACTGTGCCCGGGGATGGCGAGTCCAGGTGGCACCAGGATCCCGACTATGGGAGGAGGAATGGAGAGAAGATCCGGCAGCAGTGCACTCTGGGGCCTTGCTTCTCGATGTGTAGGCCCACCCTGGACCTACTGAATTAGAAACTGCATTTTATTTTAAAATTTTTAATATTTTTATTGATTTCAGAGAGGAAGGGAGAGGGAGAGAGAAACATCTATGATGAGAGAGAATCATTGATCAGTTGCCTCCTGCATGCCCCACATTGGGAATCAAGCCCACAACCCAAGCAATGTGCCCTGACCAGGAATCAAACCACGGCCTCCTGGTTCATAGGTCGACGCTCAACCACTGAGACACGCTGGCCCCCCACGGGCTGCAGAAATTGCATTTTAATAGGATCTGAAGGTGATACTTATGCACATTAAAGTTTGAGAAGCACAACTTAAAGGTCCAGGAAATCAGACCTGGCTCTCATTCAGTCCATGGTGGGTTCTCTGCTGTTGCTCAGACTGGCTGGACACTGGTGT